AAACTGAGTTATCAGGGTGCAGAGAAATGACATAGAAGAGTATACTTTTACACTTAATCTTAGCAATTATAAATTAAATGTGATTCCAAGATGCATCTGTCCTTAGTATAACATGTAGAAAGTGAAGTTACTGTATCACCCAAGTAAATGAAACTACTGTGAAAATATTGAATGAACCACCAAAGATAGGAATATCTTAAAGATACTAGATAATAGATGAAATTACTTGCTAAATTCATTATGAGGTTTTAAAGGATAAAACATAATTCACAGATTTGAATTATGTTCAAAACTTGATTTAGAGGAAAAATAATGTGAAATAGCTTGGGAATCAAAGAGTGATTTGACATAGTATTGTTACTCCAAAAAATGTTGACACTCACATTCAGGTTCCTGACTAAGTCAGGTCAGCCCTGGGAGGAGCGCCTAGGTTCCAGTGCTCCTGTGTTGGGACTTTTAATAAGGTGCTGATATTTTTTCATATTTTTATAAAAGGAATGCATATTGACATAGAGGTGGGTGGGTAGGTAGATAGGTATAGTACAGTGGTTAAAAGTGCAAGATTGGGATCAGACTCGGTTTGGGACACAGCTGTATCACTTACTAATTGTGTGACTTTGAGCAATTTAACCTCCTGTGTCTCAGATGCCTGAAGTTCATATGTAGCATTGACCTTTTCAGTTGCTGGCGGATAAAATGTGCACAACTCTTACCATACGGTCTGGTCCATCGTACATAAAAAAAAAAGTATCATTATTACTATTGTTGCTACGAAAATAATAATAAAAAGATTGGTGTTTTAGGCCATTATATGATTTTTTGCATGGCAATAGGTAACCAAAATTGTTACCTAAGCATGATTCCAATGTTAAGTTCCTTAACAGTTATTCAGAAGAGGAGGAATTCACAGAGTCTCTTGTGAGCACATGTTTTGGAATTAGTCGTTGACCTGTTAGTTGAACCCGCACATCTTGGGTAGGGCTTGAAAAAAAATCGCTATTATTACTGTTTTTAATTTGTTATTATAGAGGTGAGTCAAGAAAGAGGAGAGATTGATTTCTCTCAGAAGTCTTTTTCATACAAAAGCCTGATTTCCCTCTAGTCTAATTCTGTTGCATTTTCTCTAGGAAAAGGGCCCCACAGGATGGTGCTTTGAACCAGTGGGCACACTTGCATATAAACCTAAGAGTCTGCTATGAAAGTGCATCAGCCAGCTTGGTGCAGTAAATCTTGAATCACCGTTCCTGTGTCCCTTACATTTGTCACTGTTTAATGTAACATGTTCTTGGGCATGGGGCAGGGGTGGCATTTTCCTATTTCTCATCACCTGTAGGATATGTATTTATGTAAATATGTCCTGTACCTATGAAGAGCAAAGCAAATACCAGAAGTTATGTTTGACTTAGAAGAGGAAACCTTGCTCCTGTGGCTCAGTGGGTGGGTGCCAGCCCCATATACTGAGGGCGGCAGGTTCCAACCCAGCCCCCACCAGCTAAAAACAGCAGTGACAACTGTAACAACAACAAAATAGCTGGGTGTTGTGGCGGATGCCTGTAGTCCCAGCTAATTGGGAGGCTGAGGCAAGAGAATCGCCTAAGCCCAAGAGTTGGAGGTTGCTGCGAGCTGTGACACCATGGCACTCTTCCAAGGGTGACAAAATGAGACTCTGTCTCAAAAATAAAAGTTAGGACTGTTGACTGTTGACTGGCTAGCTTCTTGTTATTCTAGTTGTGCAAAATGACCCACAGGCAGGAACAGAGAAAGACCTATTCAGGAGAGATTGTGAGAAGTGACCTGGAAAGTCACCCCTATTGTGTGTTTTTATGAATTATGGTCATTGAAGATCAGTCCCTCTTCTTGCTACACATCTCCATTCAGAATGTGAGAGTTGTTAGGATGAATGACTATTGTGCTTATGTGGCTTTTGACTAGGAAAGCTACTGTCAGCAGTGCTCCCAAATCTTTTTTTGGCTAATAGGAATACCCAGAGTACTATTCGCATCCAGTACTCATGAAATTGGTCAACAGCCAACTAACAAATCCTAAATGAATAATTTTGCATTAATTGATAAAATTCACTTGTGAAACAAGCAACGGGTACCCACATGTGTGTACCTATGTGTCTGTTTATATATGCATATACACAAAAATTAAAATTCTGAGGGTTGTACAGTATCAAAATATATGTTAACAGCATAAATACACAAATAGTGTCACAATCCTAAAATGGATGACTGTGTAATTTTATTTACCTCTTGGGAATCCATTGAGCTATTGATTCCACAGCAAATGTATTTTGATTAAGATCATAGCAAGATATATTTGACAACAATTCCCAATTGTTAGAACCTATTACATATTTAACGTCTACAGTCATCTGAGATTATATGTATCTGATCTTCGCTTAGTCAGATAAACCAATATTTTGTTTCAAGGGCTATATCATCAATGCTGTGTAATTACCATGCCTTGTATAAAAACCATGTACCTTCTTAGATAGTTTGGAAACATGCTGTGATCCTCAGTGCTTATGTTGATGCTAATGGGGCTAGAATCATGAAGGCAGAGATTAAGATGGTTCACATATATTTACAGCATAACTTTCAGGCATGTATACAGATTGAATCTGCTCTAGTTGACAGAGTTTAATGGTTGAGGCTTAGTTCGCCAGCTGTGAACATTGTTATCTATAGTGTTTTTTTATGGTGGTGGCTGTAAGTGGTTTTAGAAAATTGGAGAAATATTTCCAGGAAAAGTTAATCTCTTATAAAAATTGAGCATGTGAGGTTTTTTTTTCTTTTTCCCTGTGAAGCTAAAACGTATACCCTGATTTTACCACATAACAGATTATTGAAGAACAGCAATACAGACTTAAAAACCGCCATATATGTCACCAATATAGTGATAGTTAAATGGACTAAATGGAAGAAACACGGGCCCTGTCAGGTTCTTATGATTTATCAGTTTTTAACTTCAAACACTCTGGTTAGCTTGCATTTTTTAATCTAAAGAGTTTATCACAGCCAGTGGGGAAAATGGTTAAAGTATATCAGCTATAAATTGGTACAAAGTACTGAAAGGGACATTAGCCTCTAATCAGATTCTAACAGTTCATTAAATCAGCCTTCCCGGGTCACTCTTTGTGTTTTCTGCTCTCTTGCGTAGCCCTCTGTTAGGAGGCAGCTTCTTGCCTTTTCATCTGGGCAAGACCTCCTCCAGGGTAGGCAGCAATATCAACTCATTCTTCTTTGTCTACCAGCCAAGCAACCTACAGGATGCTTTGTTACAGGTGGATTCCCAGAGATGCTGTGAGCCTCTGGGCTGGCAGGCTGCAGCAAGGCTTTCCTGAGTCTGGGTGATGGCAGGCCAAGCTGCCTGCCTCCAACCACGGGAGCAAGTGACATGCATTTGGATTGAAAATCGGTGCTCAATGTATAAACAACCCAGAGTCTTCGAGTTCAGAACCCAGAGGTTTCGAGTTCAGAACAATTTAACTGAGCTCTCCAGTGACACTTTAGTTCTTCCTGCTGTAAACTGTCTATTAGGATGTAAAATTCCTAAAATGATGGGCAAGTCTAAAGCAAAAACTTAAAAACCTGTATCCTGCCAATTTTGCAAATATTGGGATAGTTACATGGAAAGGAAATTGACAGTGATTTGTTTCCTTCTTTTTATTACCAAATAGACTAGGTGGTGGAGGCTTTCTAAATGCTCATTAGTTACCTCTAGAGTCAATTTGCTTTTTCTCCTTGATTTCTCAGAGCAAATATTTGTGATGAGAGGCCGTATAAATTTTATCTCTTAGAGCATTTTTCTTAAAAAGAATACTTGAGAAATAGGCGAAATAATTAGAGCTTCACTATACTGCACTCTGTTGGTATTATTTGGTAATAAAACATGTAATTTATGATTTGTTGAAGTGAGAGTTGTTTTTATTTAACTTTCTATTTGGTAGAAAAGCAACTGGATGAAATGTGAAATCCTGAAGGTTTAGAAATTCTACTAATCTTTTGCACCATGTAGCAAAATATTTAGAAAGTGATCTTTTTTTTTTCTCTCAATTCAAAATAGATCTTTTTTCCTGTTAATAAGAGTACTTGTGTGTCATGTGGTCACATTTTGTAACTGAGCAAAAGTAACCATTCTAGAAAATCAGATTTATTCATATGAGTTTCTTTGTTCAGGCAACATGAGAGTAAGTAAAATTGGCATTCCGAACATGCTTTAAAATATGAGCCAAAGTTTGGCCTTAAGCAAGCACTAAAATATGACTCTCTGACTCTCTTCATACGTTCCTGACTTCAGAAAATTCCCAAAGCAGTGACAATTAGTAGAAACTAAGCTGGATTTAATCATTTCTTAAATGTTGTTTGACACTCTGGTGTGCTACAATATTATCAACAAGGTTTTCCTTTCTAAGAGGCATTAAGATGAACCAAATATATACCAGAACAGAAAACAAATTATTTGTTCCTTACTTAGGATTTCACCGTACAAATTCACACTGAACCTAACACTTATGTTGGTTATTTTGAAAGTTGGGGGTTGATATATAGAAATTTTCATTTGATCAGAATTGCCATGATATAAAAATTGAATGTCCAGAATTATATTATCTTGCTTTTAAATTATTTAGGCTTTGACGAATATGAGAATATGTAATTTTTTTTATCTGATTTTCTTCTCTATGTATGTCGTTGCATATTACAGTCTTCAGAGCTAAGGAAGACAGAAACTTGCCTTGTAGTTCCTCTGTGACTGGGAAAGTGTGATGAATTGTCCCAGCCCCATATAAATTAATGTAAGGTTTCCATACTGCAGTTTATTATAGAGTGACCTCCAACCCAGGGGTCAGAGAATCAGACTGATTAATTCTGGTACTTGGTCATTATTTCAAAGGAAAGTTCGGGGGTGGGGGGATAATTGGTTATGCCGATATTCTCATTTAATTAGGTTCATAGTAAAAAAGAAAATAGGTTAGCAGTACCGAAAGTACTATAATGAAGGAAGCTCTCTGCCAGTGTCTTCTTTTGAATGCCTTAAGAGTTGAATCTCCCTCTCTGTTTCTCTTTTATTCTCAGAATACCAACACCTTTGAGAACAGAATGTTAATGCTTGATGGGATGCCGGCAGTCAGAGTCAAAACAGAGCTTTTGGAATCTGAACAAGGGGTAAGCAGAGTTTCCAGTGATGCCCCACCCTTTTCTCATGACGCCCCACCCCCTTTTCATGACAATAATGGCATTCCTTTCTAGAGCATCCTGAGCTTTGCAGAACACCTCTGATGGTTCCCATGCGTATGTTTTTTTCTCTCTCAAGTACAACTCATTTGAGATTTAGTTGATTCTCCTCCATCGGCAACCTCAGTTAACTCCCTTGGAGGGGGGCGGCATCCTCAGAGAAGGAAGGCCTGATGTCCTCCCAAGAACCATATGGCTAGATCTAAATCGGTATTGGAGCGCTAATAAAAGTCTAAAGCAGAGAGAAATAACTGAAAAATAAAATGGGAATATAACCTCACTGTCCAAATAGCTTGATTGTTCCTGAGTCAAGGAAGGACAGAGTCCGGGTTTGAGAATGTTCTATTTGTTGTGTGGATTTTCTCTTTTGCTTTTGACATTTGTATTATATTGACCTTTTTTTTATGCCAGGAAGGCTAGGGGATGGTTGATGAAATTGAGGTCAGGGAATTTGAAAAATGCCTAAAAGCAAAAGAAAGGTTATTTTACTACACATAGCCAAATTGATGAATAAACTTACGGGTACCGAAAATGTAAGAACTCAGAGCACAGATTTTATTGTTACTAACACAGGAGATTTTATAATTGACATGTATAGCTTCACCAGGTGATCAGTATAATCGGTTGCGGCCTCACTGACCACTTTACCTGTTTGAAGGAGAAAGCTGTGCTCAGGCGCCAGGTGCCCACCATGACCTGTTCTATTACACCTCCCCAGGCTGCACAGAGGGCTGACACAAGGACATGGGTGTATATACAGTCTTTCCGTTATCACTGTGTCTCTAATTGCAAAAATCAAAACTAAAACTTAACAACATTCTGTACTTGAATGCTCAAAAGAAAATTTAAATGTGAATAAAATCTTACTGTTTT